TTTTCCCTCGTGTCGTTTGGTTTTCGGAAGGGAGGGGCATGTTTGGTCATCCCACCCTATTAATAGGGGTTAATTTTATTTATTTATTTCCTGTTTTTGGTGTTTGGGCGCGTAGGGCCACGTGTCCCAGGCGCAACGCGCCCATCCCGTTTTTTCGGATTCAACAGGGGACCCCCGTTTTTTCTGTTAAATGGGATTCAACGGGGCCCCTGAGGCAAATCAACGCCGTCCAACAAAATTTAATGGCCTCCGTTGCCTGTTGTTCAAACACAAAATCTGTAGTCACTACAAATGGCTGCTCCGGATCAAGAAGTTTGAGGACTTCATAGTGTGTCAGGGCATACTTCAATTTCTTGAACCTTGCTTCACACTCTTCAGTGCACTCCCAAGGGGTGTCAAGGCGGGTTAGGCCGGTTTATGGAGAAACCATAGTACGATAATTTTTCGCAAATGGACGATAGTAGCCCGTCATCCTAAAAAATGATCGGACATCAATAACAGTCCGAGATTTGGGTCAGTCACGTATGCTGGCCACTTTTGCATCGTCCGACCTCAACCCATTGGTAGAAATTTCATGACCGAGGTACAAGATCTTGGTGCGACTGAACTCGCATTTCTCCAAGTTGACCTTGTACTAGTGCTGCCTTAGGAGACCTACCATTGTTTTCAATTGCTCAGCGTGCTCCTATACAACCTTACTAAAGATAACGATATCGTCGAGGTACATAATGATAAACTTCTCTAAATAATCATGAAAGATCATATTCATCGCATGCTGGAATGTCCCAGGTGCATTGCATAGGCCAAAGGGCATCACCACGAACTTGTACACACCGTACCTGGTATGAAAAGTGATTTTGTGTTAGTCGTCAGGTCCAGGGTTGTCGACCCTCGAGCCCGGGACCCCGCCGAAGTTCCGGGGTTTTGGGGGTCGGCACCCGGGACCCCGGCCCCAGTATGGGGGGGGAAAAAAAAAAAAACAGTGGGGGGTGCACGCTGCCGGCATGTAGCCTCTGGCATCTTTTGTGTGTGGCGGGGGCGGGGTTGCCCTAGCGCGAGGGCGGGAGCGGGGTTGCCCTAGCGTGGGGGCGGGGATGGGCTGGCGG